GGCTTGCAAACTGCCAAATTGCAAGAGTTTAATAAAAGATTTACCGCAGAGTAGTGGGGCAGGCAGAGAGAGGGACTTCCCCCCCCCTCCCTAGCCCAGTTGAGAAGGTAACCCAAATCTTTCCATAACTTTGCAAAAAAAACCAACACAACAACAACCCAGAAAACAGGCAAGGGAGGGGAAGAGAATTTTGCAGAATCTCTCGACAAGAGTTATTTTGTTACTTGCAGCGCAAAGGCCTTTCAGGGCCGATGTCCGCTACAGCAATCCTCCTGCAAGCCCCCCCCCCCCCGCCCCCCGAATTGAGCAGGGCAAAGTTGCCCGCACAAACCCGTTGTGTTTTGCATCCCGAAGAAATCAGCCATCCAATAAGCAGGATGTCAGGCCTGGGATGGGGGGCTTGCTGAAGTAGAAGGGGGGGGGGGGTCCCACGCATACTGGCACGGTGACTGACGGAAGTCCTTGACTGATGGGCGCCTGCACGGTTAAATAGGACACTATACACATGGAAGCATTTAATGGGCACTCTGAAGTTTCCCGGCCTCTAAAAAATAAAGATTTCTTTGCTATACAAATGTACATGGCCTCCTAAGGCTTACAGAGTTTGGAGTTCTTTTAATATATGGCTATCTCAAGGCGCATCTGCCTCGTGTCAGGATATTTATGCATAGAGATCCAGGTGTGCAGAGACTCTCTCTCTCTCTCTCAAGACTTGCAGGCAAGAGGTGATGGGAAGACTTGAATACAAGACACCTGGCAAGGAATAGAGGGGTCTTGGGAGGTCAGAAAGTGGTGCGTCTCTTCTTGGGCTCGGTAGAATTGTCCTTCTCCTGGGGCACCTCCAATATCCTCCGGGGATAACTGGGGTGGACGTTCCGGGTCGGGAGGGAGGTCTCGGCGGAGGGGCCTCTGCTCGGCAGAGGGGCGCTAGGCACGGGCCCGACGCGGTTTGACGTTTCCCCCAGGGCGCCGGTGGAATTTCTATGGCTCTGAACTGTCCAAGGCCCCGAGGGTTTTTGCACCGACGAGGGTCCCGAGGCCGGAGCCTGGCCCTCCTTGCAGCCGGTGGCCTTTAACGCCGACTCCGCTCGTCGGAAGAGACGGGGGTCCTGCGGTCTGTCCTGGATTGGTTTCACCTGGGCCACAGGGGGCGGCCGGTGGTTGAGCGTCCCTTGAGGGGTCCTTTTGACGGCCGGAGTGGGAAGGGAGACCGGAGGGCGCTGGGTGTCTGGGCTGGGGAGAGCCTGTGGTTTGGCTCCACTGAGGACCGCCGGGGCTCCTTGGCCGCCTCTTTCTAGAGTCGCCGTGGCGGAGTGGGAAAACGACCGGGATTTGAGGATTTTCATGGCGCTGTCTTTGTACGTGTTTTTGGAGGTCTTGATGATGTTCCCCCTCCGTTGGGCGTCTTGGATCATCTCGTTCCAGTCTTTGTTCTCCTGCGAAGAACCAAAATGGACAATGGGAGGAAGGTCACAGGAAGTCTCCAAGCTCCAAGTTCTCCAAGCCCAGTTGAGTCTCTCAATCCAGCCCTTCTAGCCCTTCTCCGAAGCTGGGAGATCCAACCTCCCCGACCTTATGGGGCACCCAGCCCTTTTGCAGGGGACAAGACCCCTTTATTGCCCAACTGTCTAGGATAGGGGTCGGCAACCTTCAACACTCAAAGAGCCACAAAGGTCCCAACCAGAAGCCCCCCCGTACAATTCTGGAGCTGATCAGAAATCCAATTTCCCCACCATAGAGTCTCCTCCTAGGGCGGCGTCCTTTTTCCTCTACCTGTCCTAACCGAAAGCCCTATCCCGTGTGGAGCNCTTTATGGGGCCTTTCTCCTCTTTTGCTCAGGCCTCAAAGGATAACGTGGCCTAAAAAAATCAAGTTGCTGAATTTATTAAGTTTTCCTCTTTCTCTCTCTCTTTCTTTCTTTCTTTTTGGACTTGTTTTCCATTTTTTACTCTTTGGTTAAAGAGTCTTCGGCTTTCAACACTGGTTTTTATTATGCCAAAAATACACCGCATTCCTCCAAGCTTTGCCGAACTGATTACGGTTCAAATTCTTTTTTTTTAATTTTTGGTAGAGAATTACGTTTGTTGGAATTATCGACGTCCTAAAGAAGAGTGGGGAAGGGGAGATAGAAAAACAAAAACCAATCAGGTGAACTGCTACAGCCTTTAGGGGGAAACAAACATTTTACCTGAAATATTATGGTGTTATAATCCATTACATAAAAGCAACTTATTAATTGCTGATAGGTCTCGGATTAATTTTTCTCTTCCAGCTTTGCAGATTTAACTCCGGTTGGTCGGTGGGCATCCTTCCAAAAAGATTGTGACAAGGATGAGTAATTTCACGTTTCCTGATGCCAAAGATGGAATTAGGGGTTTGTTGAAAGGGGATTTCCTTTGAACAGACTAGCTTTCCTTATTATGATGGTTAGATGCTCCTAGTTTTTAAACCCTCTTTTTAGCTGCGAGAGGAGAGCTCTTTCAGTCTGGATGTCTTTCGATAGGAAGGCAACAAACTCTTGAATGCACAAGGGATGATCAAGATAGATAGGATTGAAGCAAGCATAGGCAATCTTTTCAGGATTTGAACCCCATCCCGATACTGTTGTTGGATAAGAGCTGATTAGAAGAGAAGAATGGAGGGAGTGGGGGGTGTTCTGATCTCGGCTTCCCCCAAAAGCACGAAGCAGATTCCTGGTGCCAGCAAAACTCCTCTTATTAAACGAATGTGAATTCCTCTCATTTCAATTTCAGCAAAGTCTTTCAAAGGAGTATTTATGACCACAGACCTTATCTCGCTTGGAAAGCTGCCATGTAAATATTTTCCAAGCGTGGTGCTGTGCAAGGAAAGGCTGGGCACAGAGTCTCTGAGATTCACGGACAGATCTTCACACTCCCGAAACGAACGAATTGATTCCTGCAAAAGCCCATTCCCCCTTTGCTCCTTTTATTCTATAATGGGGGGCGGGCATTCATCGTCCACCTGTGGCCTTCCTCCCAAGTCGACCCCTGTTCTTTAGCTATTCCTTTTGTCTGGCAACTCTGCAGATGCGCACACTGGGAACAGGCTCCAGCTGTTCTTCTGCCTCACTGATGTCTGACTCTGAAGGCAGCT